AGAAAATACTGTGCCAAGGCTGTCATGCAATGATAACAAGAGATCTTCCGGGTCTTTTTCAGTCGATCCCACTTGCCATGTTAGTTTTATTATTAGAACTAGAAAAATGCTTTAATGCAAAAAAAAAAACCTCAAAAATTTAAATGTCCCACCTATGAGCCTGTGGCATCAGAAAATTAAATTATTTCATAGAAATTATTTAATAGAAGAGCCATAGTAAAGTGTAGCTTCAAAAGATGGGAAGATAAGTCACTTATAAATATAACTAATATATTAAATTCTCACCCACCCCCCCCAAAATTTGGTTCTATTAGGCTAGGACCTAATTTCCCTACAGAGCTGAAAGGAGTCATCATCTTCAGGAAGGGACACAGGCTATGGTAATTCCCAGCCACAAGGAAGTTCTTCATGTTTAGCCTAAATCGTTTTTGCTTTAAAATAAGCCTAATACTTTTTTAATTCTGGGCTGAAGAAAAAAAGGGAACAAGTTTTACTTTGTACAGGACCCTCAGTTGTGTTTAGGCAATTCATGGTGCTCCAAGAAAAGAGAACCGAAGGTCTACTCAGCCAAACTTGAACTTAGCAAGGACACTTGTTAGAATATTCCCTTAGGTGTCTTTTGTTAGTAAACATTTCCTGGGTGGTTCCAACAGGCCAAAAACTGTACTCAATTCTGGAGATTAAAGGAGAGTGAGACCCAATTATCTGTTAAGTCACGGGAGCTAGGGGGTCACACCTTCTGGAAAGGCTCCCTTCTTTTTTTTTTTTTTAAATTTTACATACTATGCTTTTATTGAAATTATACCAAATAAGCAATGATGGAAAATTTCTCTTGGCAACATCATTTTCAAGGATCATTTCATGCATTTGCCGCCAGAAAAGCATCTAAGTTTGACAACCATGGGGTGAAAATCTCCATGCTCTACTTTGAACATGAAAGAAGATGGTGTCATTTTGGTTCCCCGCGCTGAGTTCCCTCAAATCTTGCCTTCCTGTCCCTGCCTGATACAATTTAGTCCCTCTTTAGTACCTGCTGTTGATATTTTGCAGCTTCCATATCACAGGTGGGGTATCATTTCTTCTCCATGAAAAATGACCTGAAATTATAATGGGACCCAGCATTCAACCAATGGTCATTTGCCCCACTCATTGGCGAGGCTTGACCAAGTGCCAGGCAACCAGCTGGTTTTGGTCATATCAGAAAGTAAAGATGCATTTATGATCTGGTGTAGGCTGAGCCAGACATTTTTCACCAGTTTTGGCTAACAGGAGGATGACTCACTTCACCAATTCATAGGCATTCACCAAAATTTTGTAATTTCACTGGAGTTATATGGCAGATTAAAATGTGAAATTGACTCAGGCACAGATAGGGTAATATCTTTGTGGAATGCAATGAAATAATTTCTATTTCTAATAATGAGCAACTTCTGAAGGGAGCTAACCTTTCGTGTAGAGAGAAGGACTTCTAGCTGCCTCCTATTGGCATTTCATTTTTTTTTTAATTGAAGTATAGTCAGTTTACAATGTTGTGTCAATTTCTGGTGTACAGCATAATGCTTCAGTCATACAGATACATATGTATATTCATTTTCATATTTTTTTCATTGTATATTTACTACGAGATACTGAATATAGTTCCCTTTGCTATATAGTGTAAACTTGTTTATTTATTTTATACATAGTAGTTAGTGTCTGCAAGTCTCGAACTCCCAATTTATCCCTTCCTATCCCCTTCCCTGCTGGTAACCATAGGTTTGTCTTCTATGTCTGTGAGTCTGTTTCTGTTTTGTAAATAAGTTTGTCTTTTTTTTTTTTCTTAGATTCCACATCTAAGTGATATCATATGGTATTTTTCTTTCTCTTTCTGGCTTAACTTCACTTAGAATGACAATCTCCAGGTACATCCATGTTGCTGCAGATGGTATTATTTTATTCTTTTTATGGCTGAGTAGTATTCCATCATATAAATACACCAAAATTTCTTTGTCTAATCATCAGTCAATGGACATTTAGGTTTCTTCCATGTCTTAGCTATTGTAAATAGTGCTTCTGTGAACATTGGGGTGCACATGTCTTTTTGAATTAAGATTCCCTCTGGATATATACCCACGAGTGGGTTTGTTGGATCCTATGGTAAGTCTATTTTTAGTTTTTAAAGAATCTCCATACTGTTTTCCACAGTGGCTGCACCAAACTACATTCCCACCAACAGTGTAGGAGGGTTCCCTTTTCACCACAGCCTCTCCAGCATTTATCATTTGAGGACTTTTTAATGATGGCTATTCTGACTGGTGTGAGGTGATACCTGTGAGGTGACACCTCATTGTAGTTTTGGTTTGCATTTCTCTGATAATTAGCGATATTGAGCATTTTTTCATTTGCCTGTTGGTCATTTGTATGGCTTCATTGGAGAATTGTTGTTTAGGTGTTCTCCTCATTTTGGGATTGGATTTTTGTTGTTGTTGTTGTTGTAGTTATTAAGTTATATGACTTGTTTATATAGTCTGGAAATCAAACCCTTGTCAATCGCATCATTTATGAATATTTTCTCCTATTCCATAGGTTGTCTTTTCATTTTGTTTATGGTTTCCTCTGCTGTGCAGAAGCTTATGTTTAATAAGGTCCTATTTGTTTATTTTTGCTTTTATTTATATTGCCTGGGTAGACTTCCCTAGTAAAATATCGCTAGGATTTGTGTCAGAGAATATTTTGCCTGTGTTTTCTTCTAGGAAGTTCATCGTGTCTTGTCTTATGTGTAAGTCTATAAGCCATTTTGAGTTTTACTTTTTGTGTGTGGTGTGAGGGATGTTCTAACTTCCCTGGTTTCCATGCTGCTGTCCAGCTTTCCCAACACCACTGGCTGAACAGACCATCTTTTCTTCATTGTATATTCTTGCCTCTTTTGTCCAAGATTAATTGACTGTAGGTGTGTGGGTTTATTTCTGGGCTCTCTATTCTGCTCCATTGATCCATATGTCTGTTTTTGTGCTAATTTTCCTTTTTGGTAGTGTCTTTGTCTGGTTTTGGCATCAGTGATGGTGGCTTCATTGAATGACTTTGAGAGTGTTTCCTCCTCTTCAATCTTTTGGAAGAGTTTGAGAAGAATTAGTATAAGTTCTTCTTTGTATGTTTGGTAGCATTCCCCAGTGAAGCCATCGGGTCCTGGACTTCTGTTTGGGAGGCTTTTTTTACTGCTGATTTTATCTCACTCCTACTGATCGGTCTGTTCAGATTGTCTGTTTCTTCTTGATTCAGTTTTGGTGGACTGTATGTTACTAGAAACTTGCCCATTTCTTCTATGTTGTTTAATTTGTTGCCATATATTGTCCATAATAGTCTCTTATGATTTGTATTTCTATGGTGTTGGTTGTAATTTCTCCATTTCATTTCTTGTTTTGTTTATTTGTTTTCTCTCTCTTTTCTTGGTGAGCCTGGCCAGAAGTTTGTCACTTTTGTTTAATCTTTAAAAAAAAAAAAAAAGCTCTTGGTTTGATTTTTTTCCTATTTTTTTAATCTCTATTTTATTTATTTCCTCCCTGATGTTTATGGTTTCTTTTCCTTCTGCTGGCTTTTAGTTGTGTTCCTTCTCCTTTTTCTATTTCTTTCCCTGCTGTTGGAAGAGAGGCTTTGAAACCTACTTCTGAGCTGTGGTGTGTGTTGTAGGCGGGCTGGGGTGCTTCTGTTGGAAGACGAGCTGCTGAATATTCCTCCACAGGAGATGTCCGCCTGAAGGTGCCTTCGTTGTCTGGGCTCACAAAGTACACTTTGTTTTTGCTGCCCTTGTCCTCAACTCAGCCACGGGAATGTTGGCACCCCGCCCTGGTTCCATGTTCACAGAGCACCGGTGCAGATCCAGCGGTGGCGTCAGGCAACAGGACCCGCTGTGATATGGGTGCAGTTATGCACCTGCATCTTCTGTGAACTACAGGGTCAGCCCAGACCCCAGACCCGTGTCCACTGTTAATGCCAGACTCGCCCCTGCCGCATGCTTGTCTTGGTTGTCTCAGCAGCGCAGGTCCACAAAGGCCAATCTGCCGCAGCCACCTGGGGCTCGGCTCAAATGTCAGTCCCGCCTGTGAAGTCCTGAGACTCCTGGGAATGGGTTCAGGTTTCAGCAGTGCCCCCGCCTGAGGGCCAAACACCAGCGATTGTGTCTCTCCAGAGCAAGCCAAGAAGACTGCTGTGTCTGGACCCTGCTCTGTCGCCCACGAGAGCAGGACAGTGTGGCAGGGCTGCGTGTACCCCTCCCCTCAACACGCACCAGCAGTGGCGCCCTCTATCGGGGACCCGACGCTTCTGCACACACTCAGCCCCAGTCCTCTGCCCAGGCTCGTCTGCAGAAGCCTGGGCTCCAGCCCCCAGTCCTGGCCCTCCCCCGCTGGCTCACCTCCAGGGCTGGGGATTGCAGGAGCCCTCTGTGCCGGTTTCTCTCTGTTCCGTCCACCAAGCGGCTGCGGCTTTCTCCTCTGAGCTTCTGAAGCCCCTTTTCAGTCCCAACTGACCTCCCCACGGCAGAGGGGGCTTCCTAAGGTGAGGGTCCCCTCCCTGGGGCACAGGTCCCATACCAATTTCCTTCTTCTTCTTTTTTTTTTTTTTTTTTGCTACCTGGTTTTGTGAGGGTTTTCCTTGTAGTTCTGATAGTAAGAGATGCTCTACCGAAGTTCAGCACATACTTTTTTGCGAATTATTCCATATGTAGATGTAGTTTTTGTTGTATTCATAGGTAAGGATGAGCACTGCGTCCTTCCACTCCACCATCTTGACAATCTCCCCCTTCCCCCTGCCAGGACCCTTCGTTGATAGAGGATGTGTGGATAAAACAACTCTCCTTTTCCCTGCTTGCTTATACTTAAACACACTCTTACAAATCGACACAATCACATTTAGGTACCCGTGCACACATACACACACCCACCTCTCCCCACAGACACTCATACACTCGTGCTCCCCCCGGCCCAGCATGCACTCACTTACACGTGTTTCCCCTTCGTTCTCAGAATTTGGACAGGCCTGCAGGCCTCGGACATAATGTGGGCCATATTAGACACAGGTTGGATACTGAACTTCTTGGCCTCCTTGCTGGAACCTTGGACATTGGGAGCATGCACATTTATCCATTTATTGCCGAAGGTTGACCCACAGGTCATTCTAAAGGTAAGAGAAGATCCAGTTTGCAGGTCAGAATGAGCCCAAGGTCTGCATACTCCAGATTATTGCGGTTTCTTTCAATGCATCTAATTTTTGTTAGAAAAATGGAACGCGTTCAGTAAGCAAGGTGGAAACTGTCCCCGCCCTCGCGGAGCTAATGGCCCAGGAAAGGAGACAGACTCATGTACAGTTAAAAGGAATATTCAGGAGACAAGCTTCGTGAGTCATTCATTCACTCAATACATATTTAACTGTCCCTTGCTCTGGTGTCAAGTATCAGATAGATGGTAGTAAACTGAGTGTGAAAAGGAGGGATGGAATATTGGAGATGATGCTGCTTGTGTGCATGGGTACGTGTGTGCATAGAGTTAGTCATCTTAAGTGTGTAGCTTGAAAATAATTTATCTGTGTTAAACATTTTATGAGTTGCTCATTCTGCTATAACAAAATCCCACAGATGGGGTGGCTTAAGCAATAAATATTTATTTCTCATAGTTCTGGAGCTTGGGAGTTTGAGATCAGGGTGCCAGCATAGTTGGGTTCCTGGTAAGAACTGTCTTCCTGGCTTATAGACATCTGCCTTCTTGCTGTAGCCTTGTAAGGTAGACACAGCGAGCCCTGGTGTCTCTTCCTCTTCTTGTAAGGGCAATAATCCCATCATGGGAGCCCCACCCTCATGACCTCATCTAAACCTAATTATCTCCCAAAAGACTTACCTCCAAATACCATCACAGTAGAGGTTAGGGGCTTCAATATATGAACTGGGAGCATAAAGCATTCAGTCCATAACAGACACCCATGTAACCACCACCAGATCGAGATATAAAACATTTCCTTCAATGCAGAAAGTGGGCGTACCCCCTCAATGTTATTGTCCATGCTTCATAACTTAATCATTATTAACCTGTATCACCAGAGAGTAATTTTGCTGCTTCTCGAGCTTCATATAAGCAGACTCATACAGTATATAATCTTTTATGCCTGGCTTCTTTCATTCAATGTATTCTCTGTGAATACTGCCCATGTTGCTGCACATATTAGAAATTCATTTTTTTCAGTTGTTGTGCAGTGTTCCATTCTGTGGATCTATCTTTTCTTTTTCCATCCTATTGTTGATGGGCATTGGGGTTATTTCCAGTTTGGGACTATTATCTGTGAGAAATTTTAAAGAATAAATACAGAGTTGGTTTTTTTTTTCTTGTGGAACTTGATGGGCCAACCATTAAATAAAATCTACAAACTACATGACCCTGAAGCAAGGAAGCAACGCAAATGGGCTCATTTTTGCTTGCAAAGGCACATCCTATGCTGGACTTCATTTGTGATAGAGAGTTGGGCAGTTGCCATCCTGGGGCCTCCAGATCTCTGAAGCAGTTAATGGCTTGCCCAGATTTCTGTTTGGCTGGCAGTAGAGATCCCAGGAGCAAACTAAGGCACAGGTGACATCCTCAAAAGTCAGAAGATCAGGCAAGCTCTGGATTCTCTCAGGGCATTCTCTTTGAATGATTCTGTCATTATCTGCTTTAAACAAATTCTGACTCTGTCTCCTTTCAAAAAGAATTTGAAGTGGCTTTTGTTAAATATCACAAATAGGAAAGAAAAAAAATCATGAAACAGATGTAAAGTTATAAAACTTATTAAGAAAATATAGGCTGGAGATGTGGAGTGGGTGGGTGGAAAGACTAAGGAGAGTACAGCAAATAAGTAGATAATTGCATGTTGAGCCTCCTGTCAGGCAAGGCAGTAAGGGAAATGGGATCATTTTCATATCTTATATCAGTACACCAGGAGCACCCAGAGGAAATAATTGCATGATTTGATAATATTAATAATTTCCCCTAGATATTTTGCCTAGACCACTCTTTGTAATAAATTCTGCACAAAGAAAAGCATGGGATCGATGTGGTGTTACTAATGGTTAGAAGTATAGGCTGCAAACGTTGGTTCCGCTGCTTGCTGACTGACTCTGGGCAAGTTACTTAACCCTCCGTAAAGAAGGATGCTAATGCAAACTACGTGAGGTTATTATGAGAATTGAATGAGAGAGCACACAGCCTGGCACGTATTCAGTACTAGCTACTGCTCAGTAGTACTTCTCAAATGTCTACAGGTGCTTTTAACTTTTGAAAACACTTTTCTATGTGAATTATGTCCCAAAAATATTTTAGGGAAAATGCAGCTGGAATTAATCTATTGTAAAGCTGGTCCAAGAAGGTTAAGGACATTAACCAAGACCACACAGCCGACTTGCAACAGCAGCTGGTCCTCCCTCGGTGACTAGGAGTTTATGTAATTCTTGAGGTGTGCTTATGAGAGCAAGTCATTCAGTTGGCAGGAATAGGCAATCTGATTTGACGAAAATGTTCCAAATCAGTCCTTGACCTTTTCTCTATAATGATTAAAACAGATGTGGTCATTTCTCTGTCATTTTTGGCTTGAGACTTCATGAGAATTGGGCTCACTTGGCCTGAAATAGACATAGCCTAGAAGCTAGGGTTGAAGTCCAGGCGTCTACAGCTCCATAGCCCACACCCATAACCACTGTGCTACCAATTAATTTTTGGCATCTGACCTGCTGGTGGGTGTCTCAGCTAGCTCTCTTCCTCCAGGTGCTGTCCACCTATCCAATCAACAACATGCTAGGCGCACCCCTTATTTACCGGATGTTGCTGCTACAGGACCTTTCCAGGTGATGGGGTTTGAGGGCTTTTGAGTCTCTGATTTACTGGCTCATCCTCCTGCCTCCCTAGTCTGTCTGACCCCCTGAGCATGCATAGTCTCCCTGAAGCCGAACTCATTGTCAAAACACCCAGAATCCAGCTCTCGGCCTGGGCAGAGTTGGATGCAAGGGAGGCTCAGGGAGAAGCACTTACCTCTCTTCTCTTCTTCAGCTACAAGTTCCCACATCTGCAGCACTGCTTCAGCGGAGGGGAGAGCCTCCTTCCAGAAACTCTGGAGAACTGGAAAGCCCAGACAGGACTGGACATCCGAGAATTCTATGGCCAGACAGAAACGGTACCTGCTCTAGAAAACCAAGAGCTGGTGGACCTGGTGGACTTCAAAGGCTCTCTGATGATAAAAATACGAGCCACCATTTACCATGCTCTTACTCAATTAGTATTTCTTGAGCACCTACTATGGGATAGGTATTGGCAATTCAGCAGAAATAAAACAGGCAAAACTCCTGTTCTTATGGAGATTATATTCTATTGGGAATGGGGGAGAAAGATATAAACTAATAAATAAATGACAAGCCAAGCAGGTGAGGTGAGGTGAGGTGGGATAATGGCCTGGTATTTCAGATTTGTTCGTCAGGAAAGTCCTCTGTAATGCGGTAACATTTTAGTAGAGACCTGAGTTTATCAAATGTGTCAGGCACTGTACTAAGCTGCTCAGATGGGAATGAGGGCTAGGGAGAAGACCCCACTGAGACCCCTCACCTTACCTGCTGAGACATCTTGGAACCCTTGGGGCCCCATGAGCGCAATGTGGATTCATGTTGCCCTGTTCTGTGCCACTTACCAAAGCAACCTGGGGAAATATGTCTCCTCACCTCCTTTCTTCAGTGCCCCTTGTGACTCTCAGTACGAATCAGCTCCTCCTCTCCACTCTATTACTCACATCCTTTTATGGTTAATGGGTCCCCTGGCCCATTAGAACTCCTAAGAGGGTTCATGGCAGCACTGTGATGTGGAAGAACTTTGCAAGTATGGGTTAAGACAATGGAGTTGCAGCAAGGGCTTCCGGCCATTCACAAGAGTCCACGTCCTGGGATGCTCCTTTGGGCACTAAGGTCTCTGTAGGAGAATTCATTTCAGCATTCAAGCAGAGCTGTCCCTCTTATGGGAGGTAATTGAATCCTATACAATTTTAAAGGATTTTAGTGTCTGTGTTCCCTTAGGAAAGCATGGCTCCCTCTAAAGAGACTGTAATGTAGTTGTTAGTTCCTCTTCCCTGGGGAGTGGACGATCAGATTGCTTTCCAAACACATTAGTGAAACTTCTAAGATGGCAGTTCCAGACAAAGAAAGAGAGAGCCAGAGAAAAGGGAGAGAAGGAACCACCAAACGTGAGCCAACTACACCTGATCTGCTGATTTTTTTTTCTGTGACTTTATGACTCCTCCTGAGGTTTGTTCATCTGTCTACTGCTTTCCACAGGGACTCACTTGCAGAGTTTCCAAGACCACAAAAGTCAAACCTGGCTGCATGGGAACCGCAATTCCCCATTATGATTTGCAGGTTTGTTAGGGGTCCCAAGGAGGGAGGGAGGGAGGGAGTATACTAAATTTTCAGTAATTTATTACATTGTGCATTGAGGAAAAACAATAGAAAGTGAAGGTATTAAAATAATATTTTAAAAGAAGGGAAGGAGGAAGGGAGGGAGAGAGGGAGGAATGAAGGAAGGAAGGAAGGAAGGGGAAAAAAGAAATTATTCATATTCTTATCATCCACAGAAAATCACTTTGAATAGCTAGCAAATTAATTAGCTAGTTAGTTGCATAAATATACACATTTTTAAAACAGAAATGGGGGTGAATCTTGACATATCATTTTGTAACTTAATTTTATCATTGCGCAACCTTGGATGATCATCTTTCCAGGTCAGTTAATACCTAGCTACAGCACTATTTGTAATGAGTACATAGTAGCAGATAGGATGACCTCACCATTCTTTATGCCTTTTGTTAGTTCACAGATGATTTCTAAAACTTTCACTAGTAAAGTCAACACTGCAATGAATGTATCATAGCTAAAATTTTGCTCTTTTCCCTTATTATTTCTTTGGGCTAAATTCCAAGAAATAGAATTTGTGTGTTTATGGTTACACGTATCTAAAGTGTAACAATCCACATGCTATTCATCGTTATGTGTAATTGCTTGTCCCCGTCTCTGATGACAACTATTTTCGAAGCCCCCTTTTTTAGTACATTATTTCATTCTCACGTAATCCTGTGAAATAAGCCATAATTATCTCTGTTTTACAGATGAAGACACTGAGACGTAGAGCTTAAGTATCTCAAACTCAACTAAGAAGGTAGCAGAGTCATAATTTGAGTTTTAATCCGTCTGAAGTCCAGTCTGTCGCAGGCAGATGGATTAGAGATTTGGGCTTGAAACTCTTGGCTTTTCTTGGTTTCTGATTCTTGTTTTCGGTCACCATTGGAGTAAGAGGGTCTTCCACCTTTCACGTTGCCAGTCAAGCCGTCTTCTGTTTTGCCAATCATTCTTCCAAACTGCTTCTTCCTCCAGGTCATAGATGACAAGGGTAACGTCCTGCCTCCTGGTACAGAAGGTGACTTGGGCATCAGGGTCAAACCCATCACGCCTATAGGCATCTTCTCTGGCTATGTGGTGAGAAACCCATGCTCATTCACCTCCGTCTCCTGGTCAGAATCGTGGGCTCTGAGATGGATGTGGGGCAGGTGGAAGGGGAGTGTCCCAAAGTTATGTACCTCCCAAGAGGTATTGGTGAGAAATAGGGACAATGGGTGTCTAGTGTCTAAGAATGGGCACTTTGACAAGTGAAAAGACTGGCTATTCACTCCCGCTTTCCTTAGCTTATCATTAAGACCCCACTTGAAGAATTATCTTTCTCCAGTAACCCTTTTCCAGCTCAAGAGCTCTTCTGTGACAGAAAGCGTATTGCCCCTGAACTCTGTACAACTGTATTCTCCCAAGGGAAGCCCTGCTCCCTCCCACAGGTACCATCCCCCTGCTCTATGCCACTGATCTCCTTTAGAGCCAAAGTTAGACACTTCACATTGAGACTTCGCCATAAGTTGAAAGCATCCCTGTCTTCAGATCTTGGAATATTAAGAATAGATGATCCTCGAATCCAACTGCCTCACTATATGGGTGAGGATGGTGAAGTTTGAGAGATGATAAGACTCATCCAAGTCCACTACAGTGAACAATGGTCAGGAAACACCTCAAACACATTCTTTTGACGCCAAGAAGATTAAATAATAAATTAAATAATCAATCCAATAGTAATAGTAGCTGCCATTTATTGCATGCTTACCGCATGGCTCTAGCACTCATCTAAAGCAGTCACATACATTAAAGTCATTTAATCCTTCTCACTACCCTGTGAAGTCCTCAGAGCCAAACTACCTGAGTTTAGAACCCTACTCCACTTTTTGCTGTGTGACCTTGGACAAGTTTTTGATCTCTCATGCCTCAGTTTCCTCACTTGTAAAGTGTGTATTATAATATCTCAGAGAATTGTTATAGATATCTACAGGCAGAAATATTTGTGAAACACTTAGAACAGTGATACATAAGTAGGTAAAATAAAAGAATAGTTGTAGAGCCAAAATATCATTCCCATTATACAGATGAGGAAAACTGAGCCTCAGAGATGAAGGCACAGCCACACTGTGCACTTCAAGTATTTCCTGTGCACTGTTCCACTCTGTTCTCACAGCCAGTGAGGTAGTTAAGGCATAGGTTTCCCCATATTCAACAGAAGAGGAGACAGAATCAGAGGAGTTGGCAGATTTAGCTCCAAGGCCACAGAGTTAATGCCAGCAGGGGCTGCACAGTGGTCAGGAGAAAAAGTCAGGCTGGTGGTTAAGAGATCTGGCTTCTGATCTCAGCTCTGCCATCTGTAATGGCTGTGTGGTTGTGGACTTGCCTCTTGACCTTTCTGATCTTCAGTTCCCCTATCATCCTAATGAAGGAGCTCTGCTATGAATTCCTTGTGCCACTTTTAAACCCAGTGACCAAACATCCAATCTGGAGCTCACATCCCCACACTTGAACAATATATAAAGATGCTCTGACAAGGGACAAACCTCAAGCCTTCTCGCTGCTCAGGAACAAGTGCCCCAGCTGCATAGAGAGGTCCAGCCATTATAGAAATACGCACATTGACTGCAGCCCTGGGGGCTGGCTGGTATATCTCTAGAACTTTCAAACCTAACAACCTGGACCCAAGAAAAAAATATCTAATAAATCTTGGTGCCCTTGAGCGGTGTTGTGGAGTGGTGTCATGGAAGAATTAGGGAAGGTGGAATCAGTTGGGGATAATGCCCTAAACTGTGGGTAAATGAATGTATCAATATTATCCACCAGGTTGGACCCAGGGGAGCTGATGAGAGACCCTGGGTGGAATAAATAAAATAAATGAGGAAGTTTCAGTTTCACCTAGGGGCTGGGGTTGGCGGGTTGAGGGCAGTCCCATCATGTGTGAAATGAACAATCTGCACAACTGGTCCTGTCAGCCCTGGGGCAGAGGATTTAGGCTTTGTAGGTACAATGACTGTCTTTCTGTGATTACCAGGACAATCTTGAGAAGACAGTAGCCAACATTAGAGGGGACTTTTGGCTGCTGGGGGACCAGGGAATCAAGGATCAAGATGGATATTTCTACTTCGTGGGGCGGGCAGATGATATCATTAACTCCAGCGGGTAAGCTTGGTTTCTGGGCTGGAAAGGGTAATCTGGATCTTTATTCTATCTGGTTCTAGACCTTTGGGGTGAGCTAGAGGTTGAGTGTGCAATCTTCTCTGAAGGGGAGGTTCTTCTGCAGGTACCGGATTGGGCCCTCAGAAGTGGAGAATGCCTTGATGGATCACCCTGCTGTGGTTGAGGCAGCTGCAGTGAGCAGCCCGGACCCCTTCCGAGGAGAGGTGATGGGGGAGCTGTAGCCTGAGGGTGTGCAGATGGTAGTTAAGAGTATGGACTCTGGGGATGGATAGTCTGGGTCCAAATCTTGGCCCTGCTGGTTTACTAGCTGTGTGTCTTCAGGCAAGCTACTTAGCTTCTCTGTGCCTCAGTTTACCATATGTAAGATGAAGGGTTCTTGTGAGGATTAAATGCATTAATATTTGTAAAGTGTTTGAAACAAGGCCTGGCATGTAGCAAGTGCTAAATAAAATCTATTATTGTGGGACTGCCAGGATTCTATCCTGTTGTTTGGCATTTGAATCAGAATCTGATCCCTGAACAGAATAGAGGAGGGATCTGAGCCAAGAATTACAGCCCTTGTGCCATGGGGCTAAAGTGAGAGTAGGGGAAGAAGAAAGACCCCTTTAATGCCAGGGCTAAAGAAATAGACCCAGGTGAAATTTAAAGGAGCTTGTTGTATGTGTAGGGAAAGGTTAAAGAGGAGAGGTGTGGGTCAATGTCCAAGTATATTTCGGCAGGGTGAAAATTAATAATACCGTACCTTTGGCAGGTGTGGGACATAAGACCATGGAAATCATAGGCTCCACCAGGCATATGGGGCCCAAAACCCTGGGTGCCAAGCACTGAGCTAAGCCATGCTGTATATGATTTCTTTTTACTTCCCATGAATTTAAGTATGAAAACTGGATTTCTATTTCACAGATGGGCAAACTAGCTTGAAGAGGGTAAACAAATCATTTAGTCTTATTGTCCTTAATCTTTACTTTTTTTCTTCTCTTATAACTAGTTTCTCCCCATTGCTCTCTATTGCCCCTGGGGTATGAGGTGATCCTGGTCTCAATCTTGTAGATTGCCCTACCTGTGCATGCAATAAACAGCTTGAGAGTTGGAACCTTGGCCATGCTTGTCCCCAGTGTCTCCCTTTCCCTTACCCAAGCTACCTGGAGGTGAAAATGAGGGGATAGGAAGGTGGTGGCTATGGTGGAAGTCTTAACACTGGTTTCACGTTATCTCAGGAGATGGCAATGCGCTCTGATTCTTCTTCCTTGGCTCTCATCCTTGCTGCAGGTAGTGAAGGCATTTGTGGTCCTGGCCCCACAGTTCCTGTCCCATGACCCGGACCAGCTCACCAAGGAGCTGCAGCAGCATGTGAAGTCGGTGACAGCCCCGTACAAGTACCCAAGGAAGGTAAGGTCTCTGGAATCCCATGCTCCTCCAACTTAAGGAAGGAGAGATGGTTCTCTTCTTATATTTCTCTTTTTCAGGCTGAGGACAAAGCCTCAGATCTAAAGTTCTGCCTGATTATGACCAAGAAAGTCCAAAAAAGATAATCCAGTAACTGTCTAAATGCCTAAAATTGGCTTCAGTCTTTAATTCATTCTCAATTGAAAATCAGATGCTTCCATGGGAACAAATTCTAACCAGTACCTGGCATATATTCCCACTCTTGGCACTGAGGTTTTGTTGTGTTATTCAGGATTCTATCAGCTGCAAGTGACAGAAATTCAACTTGAAATTTATTGCTTACACAATTGAAAAGTCCATGATGGGAGAAGCTTTGTTGTATCTGGTACCAGGCATTCAAATGTTGTGGGCAGGGGTGTCTTTCATCTCTTGACTCTTGCTTTTTCTTTATTGGCTTCATTTCTTGAAGTGCTCTTCCTTTGAGAGGGCCCCCAGCATCTCCAAATATATATATATATATATATATATATTAGCAACTTAGATAATCCCAATGGGAAAAAAAAAACCGCATCTTTTCCCCCAAAGGCACCAGCAAAAGTCTCCAAGTTGATTCTGATTGGACCAACTTGGGTCATATGCCCATGGTTAAATCAATCGCTGTAACCAGGGGAATGGGGCACTCTGACTGGCCAGTTCTGAGTCATGTAATCAGCCTTGGCAAGAGTGCAGGAAGGATGGGAGGGAGGGCTGCCCTACACCCATGTAATGAACTGAATGAGGGAGGAGGGGCTCCCCACAGTAAACTGAAACTGCTCTTACCAGAAAAGGCAGATGGCATAGAATGCATGATACCTGTTTTCAGCTCTTTTCATTCTGGGGCAGGGAACTAAGGCACGGAGGTTGGTGTGGAAGGAGAACCCAGTTTTTGGAGCTGGGTACAAGACAGAAGCTTGGTCCAGGGAAAGAAAAACATATTTTTGTGTCCAGGGTAGAAAGAGTCTTCTATAACCCACATTCTCACTGATGCTTTGTCAGCAATGGCAAATTGTCATAGGTGAGTTTTCTGAGAAGCAAATTCTGGGAAGGAGATTAGCATGCAAAGGTTTATTAGGGAGTGTTTTGGGATCAGCACCTGGAGAAGGAAATGGAGTTGAAGGGAGAGAAAGGGCAGATGTTACGCAAAACAGACTGTTGGATATTTCTCCAGCAAAAAATGCTTTTTTTCCCAAGATCAGCAAAGAATTACAACTATGGCAAGTCATATGCTAGTCCACCTGCAGCAAGGAGAGGTGGAAGGAATTCTTGAAGAGGAGAAAAGGAATTTGAGAGGGCTATAATAAATAGAGTCCAGTGGAGGAACTGAGAGTTCAAAATTTGCACTGTATTTTGAACTCTGTTGGCTGAGTTGTAACAGTTGCGCATTGACTGAGCTCTTGCCAGGCAAGAAGAGGAAGTTTTTCTTCTTCCTGTTGGGCTCCGTTATCACCATGAGGCACGAGAGCTCCCCCTGCTGGTCTCCCAACTCTATTTTAATTGAGGTTACTGTTTATTAAGTCTCTTACATTATCAAGATCGTATACACTGAGGATCATCTAAAACATTGTATCATCATCACAGGTTTGGTGATAGTCTTCCACCAGGCCTGGTCCAGGTATCTTGGGAAAGCTTTCTTGTCAGATGTCATTTGCTTTAATTCCAGGAAATGTTTACTTTCAGGTCACCAGATAGGCAGATCCAGGCAGTGTTTGGTGCTTTCTATAGCAGTGTCACATGAGTCTGAGAGTCTAGTCCCTGGAATTTGGCAGCACAAGAGTTGGTTAGCAATACCTGATAGGAGAGTTTCCAATGGGTTTGAAACAAATATTTTTCTGGAGGCATCTTTTTCAATAGACAAAATCTCCAGGTTGCAAGATGTGACGCTCAAGGTCCTCATTCCTTGAGTATGCTCTGTGAAATGATTGCTCTACCAAAACATGGCCATTTTTAATAGAAGCAACTTGGCCTTTGTAATATTGGAGTATCTCTCCTTTTATTAGTTGTGGGTCAAAAGAGGCAGTAACCAAAAGAGGAGTTTGGTGTGCCGTGGCTATCTCAAAGAGTGAGAGCTTGTGAGTTCCAAAAGGTGTGGATCTAAGATTTAGAAGGACCAGCGACAATGCTTTTGGCCACAACATTTGGAAGGCCTCTACAAACTTTGCCAACTGAGTCTTAATAGTGTTGTGAGTGTGTTTGAGTAAACCAGAAGATTAAGGATGGTAAACACAGTAAAAGTATTACTAAAACCGACCAAACAGGGCAGACCCGTTGAAGTGCCTGACCAGTGAAACAGGCTTCTCAATCACTGTGAAGTTCCCGAGGCGTCCCGCAAGTAGGGGTAATCATTTCCTATTATATTAACCGCAGAAGAAGCAGTCGCTTGTCTGCAAGGAAAGGCTTCAGTCCAGTGTGAAATATACAGGCCACGACTAAAACATATTTATATCTATTAAATGGATGCAGTTCTAGTAACTCCATTTGCCAGACCTCAGATGACCCATTAGGCAATTTCAAATCCAGGAGCAGTAGAAACAGGCTTTCCTGGGTTGTACTTCAGACACATGAGGTAGGCGAGATAAACCTTGTTTTTGTTTGTTTGTATTTTAGCCTTGTTAATGTTTCCTCATCAATATTGATCCATAAAGGCTATCATTTTGTCAGCAGACCAATGGCTTAAAACATGTACAGTGGTAAGGACTGGGAAATTTAGAGTGGCTGGAAGGACTGGGTTGTCCATTGGTCCAAACCAGAACTTTCTCTTTTTATCAAACCAACAATTTTTGAATTTCCCATCTTGTTTTCCTTTTCTGAGGCCAATTGTTTGGCTTCTTTAGCCAGTTTTTCTAAATTACCATTTTGGGAAATATTCCTGGACCATGACAGAAGTTTGTCTGCTTCGGTCCCTTTAAGACCAGCATTCTTTGCAGAAATATCAGCAAGGTGATTTCCTCTTGCTTCCAGAGACTCAAGTTTAGAATGCCCTCAGAATCTTAATAATAGCTAAAGCGGTAGACAAAAGTATTGCATTCAGTAATTCCTGAACTTAGGGGCCATTTTTTAATTTTATTTCCTCCAGAAGTAAGGAAGCCACATTGCTTTCACAATATTCCAAAATCATGAGCTACCCCAAAAGCATGTCTGCTATCAGTATAAATGTGGGCAGTTTTGTCCTTGGTTAAAGTTCAAGCTCATGTAAGAGTGTAGAATTCAGCCTGTTGGGCAGGAGTAGCCATAGGTAAAGATGCTGCTTCAACAACATTAAAAGGGGTTGCAATATAGTGTACCCAGCACAATATTTGCCCATTGCCACCTTTCAAATAAGAACCATCAGTGAACTCTGAGAAGTCAATGTTACCCGATGGAATTTCCTGTTGACCGTAACGAGCAAGGAGATGGTTCACCAGCTCTAAGCAGTCATGAAGGACTTCACTGGTGACAGAGGGGAGAAGAGTAGCTGAGTTGAGGTCACTACGATGGAAAAGAGTTATGAGAGGAGCAGTTCATGAAAGGACTTCATAGGAGGTGAAGCAGCTGACTGAGAAATGTTGGGTGTGATGAAAATTCAAGAGCTTCTACTGCGTAAGGTACAAAAATAGTTAAAGGGAGTCTTACAATGATTTTCTCAGTGGCCTTCATCAAAAGGGCAGTGGATGTCATAGCACTAAGGCTAGGGCGGTGTCCCCATGCCACAGGGTCCAGTTGTTCGCTATAATATCCTATAGGTTGGTGCTGGTCTGCTTTTCAGTGAGTACCCCAGGGGCATTCCCTTCCTTTTCACATACAAAAGGGGGAAAGGGACTCTGATCATTGGGATGCCCAAGGGCAGGTGGATTGATCAAATTCTCCTTTAAGGCCTTGAAGTCTACGTTATCTGTTTCTTCCCATAAAATTGGGCCAAGGTTGTTATTCTTGAGTAAAACATACAGAGATTTGGCCCATAAGAAAGAAATTTGGCATCCGATTCCAGCAATAACTAACTAGCCTGAGAAAACCTCACAGTTGGCACTTAGTTTTGAGTTATGGGAAACTTAGGACATTATGAAGTCTACCTGGATCCAAGCATAATCTTTGCTCTGATATCAGATGGCCTAAATATCAAATCATAATCCAGGCAAACTACAGTTTTTTCCCTGGTGACCTTAAGTCACCAAGGAAAAGTGGACGCTATCTTCCTGTGAAGAGACTGAAGAAGGAGAGTAAGAAACAGAGCATCTACAACAAAGTGCAACCCGTAGGGAACTTTGTACCATCCAGATCAGTCTTCAGGGTGTGTGAGAATAAAATTCGGAGGCATTACTGTCTAGGAAAATTGTTTTTCTTCCCAAGTAAGGCAAAAGGCAGCTTCATCATCTGGGGTACTAAAGAATGTGCTGCCTAAGTTAATTATAGTAAATAAATTGCTTCCAGTGGGAATGGATGTCAGTAGTGATGAGGGTTAGGAGCAGCAGGGTGTGGAGGGATACCAATGTAGTTTATTGCTTGCAGGTTCTGGACAAATCTCCACCCTTGGCCTTTAGGTGTTCCCATTGGTCCTCAGGGACTAGTACAAGGTAATGAGGCCCTGAGCCTTATCATCTTCTGTGATGGACTTTATGTCTTGAAGCGCTTCTTTACTTTGGGATATTGATTAATTCTGGGAAGAAGTTTTGAGGGATCTACTTGAATCTGGATGGGAGGCATGCTGTGAATTTTGCAAATAACTTGTGGAGATTTTGCTCATAAGGAGGGTGGTAGCTGGTACAATATAGGGACCAATGATCGGTGTTTCCAGAACCAGCTCTAGTCCTATCAGAGACAAAGCAAATAAAAGATGTCAAAGGATCATATAACTCATGTTTAATGGCTGCTCTGATGACCACTGTCAAATTCCAGACTTATTTTTCCCTTTGAGAAAGAAATTCTGACGTGAGACTTTGCTAAGAAGTTCCAGCCTAATAAATGGATAGGGGTAGAGGAACTAAGGCGAA